GTATTTGGACGCATGGTTCGGGAGGTAAAACATTTTGATAAAAAATGAATCTACAGAAAAAGGGAAAATCCCGTGTTGCGACATGGGGCGCACATGTAGTACGCCATTTCTCAAACAAGAGAAAGTGAGGGAGCGGCCTTTGCAAGAGGTACCCTTAACTAGTGCTTTCACCGTTTAGTACGTTTTCTTTCTTTTGATTGTTGCAGTCATGCAATGTTCTGTAGCATTTTTTTTTACTTTATTTGTTTTGCTTCGGCCTTCAATGGTTTATTCATTTTTATGGTTATTTGGTTTTTATGCTTACTTTAGTTTTTGTAGCCATGCAATGCTTTGTAGCATTTTTTTTGTTTTGCCTCTGGCTTTTATGGAATCTTGAAATGCACAAAATAGAACATGATTTTGAAAAATGTTTAGTGTGTACTAAAAATTCAACACGTATTTAAAAAGTATTTGAGGTATGTTAAAAAAGTTCATCATGTGTTTAAATAATGTTCACTATTAAAAGAATTTATGACGTTTTTAAAAACATTCATTGCATTTAGCAGAAAAATTCACCGTGTTTAAGAAAATGTTTGCCATGTTTAAAAATTTGTTCAGCATGCACTGGAAAAATCTCTACCATGTTCAATGAAAATGTTCGCCATATATGTTAATAAGCGCTCAACATGTATTTGACGTGTATTTAAAAAATGCTCGCCATGTATAAAAAAACTGTTTACTGTGTATTGTAAAAAAGGTGTAATAAAAATAAAGACAGAAGGAACAAAAAGAGAAAACAAGAAAAAACCTGGAAGAAAATCCATAATAGAAAAACCCAAAATCGATGCAGTTGTGGAACAAACAGCTGAAGAAAACCAAAATTGAACAAAAATAGAGAGAGAAAAACACCATAGTACTGCAACAAGCTCAGCTACACAAAAGATTTTTTTTTTTGAGAAAAAGCAACACGAAAGGTTGGAACAAAAACAACACGGCAATCCAAAAGAAAACGTTTCAACAGGCTAGCGAATGAAATAGTGGAAAAACGTTAAAGTGGGCAACTCAATTTACCTGCATGTGGGTGTCGCCCCATTCCTTGCCTCCTTTAGAATCGATGTATTTTTATATTTATTTTACAGGTGTATCTCACTGGCTACGCTTTAATTTTCACCTGGAAAAAACCCAACGGATGGAGGTCTGTATATTTTACAGGTGTATCTCATTGGCTACGGTTTAATTTTCACTTGGAAAAAACCCGATGGATGGAGGTCTGTATATTTTACAGGGGTTGTTTTTTTGTTAGGTCTTTTATTTTTTCAGATCTTTGTATTATGACTTTGTTCCGTCTGCGAGCTGTAAGACCTTTATAATGATACTTTCTGGATTTTTAATAAAAGGGCCGCATGCATCATCATGATGCAGAGGCCAGGGGTATACCTCCATTTCCAGAAAAATAGCTTTGCGACAATCCAAGGCCTTAGGACGCGACTATCTATCGTTTGTTGCGATATAGAGCATAGTGTTGCTTGCAGTACTACATAAATGGGCTGGCCCAGCGCACGGGAGGAGCGCCGGCTCTCTAGCACACATTTTTCTATTTTTTATGAACTATATTTACATTTCTAAAATTGAAATAAATTTTGTTTAGATGTTACATTTTCACCACATGTTCCAAAAATGTTAACACCTTGTTCAAAGTATATTATCACAACTTTTAAAAAATGTTGATAGCATTAAAAAATGTTAGTTGCAATTTTTTTTTGACGGTGCTACGGCGGGCTTACGCCGGCCTGAACCATTTCCATTATCATAGATGAGATTGAGATACAACACAACGGCTACAAAAGTAGCACCCGACACACGTCAGAGGATACAAAGAACAAAAGAGAAGGCACAAGGAACAACAGAACAGAGAAGAACAAGAAATGAGGTTTGGCAAGCAGCCAACACCAAGAGCTTAGCACTCATCACCACTAGTCGGACCAAGAAGAGCGGGAACAAGTATTTTTGGATAAGTCGAAAGGAGATACATCACCAAGAAGACGTAGAGAAGAAGTCGCATGCTGCCCTGCGATCACTCTGTACCTTGAAGAACTAGGAGAGTCGCAGCCACCGTCGAAGGGCTTCCCACTACCCAGCCACGACGAGACCGAGAGAGTCGCAGATCGTGCCGAAAGGCCATGTTCCACCGAGACAGCACCGCACCTCCTCTGGGCCACACCATGGCTACCATCACAAATAGAGGGAACCAGAACACTATGCAAGGCGACCAAACTCAGGCGTCGTCGAAGGGCACCGAACTCCGAGACCTTACCGCTGCTACGAGCCCCCAGGAGATAGGTCAACCAACAACACCAGAATGACCAAGGAATTGTCGCTGCCATAGATCACTTCCACCGCCACCATCCTACACTCCAACAACCCAACAAGCACTCCAACCCAGACATCAAGCTACCAACAACAGAATTGTGGCTCCAAAAACAACCCCCCCAAGGGGGATAAATGACATCAAGATGACATCGCTGTCCGATCCAGAGATGGATCTGAGGCTTTTGCCCGGGGCACATGAATGAGCGGGCAAGGTAGCTTCCCGATGACGCCTTCATGAAGGGAAGCGGCGCCGAAGGCGTCGCCGTCATCGTTGCCGATGAGATCGACACAAGGCTTTCGCCTTAAGCAAACCATCCCAATCAACTCCACCGAAGTTGTCACTGAGTCCAGCAGCTCGAGACCTCCCCACCCTCCTACCAGTCCACGACGAGCGTCCTCGCTATGACTAGCACGAGGCTTCGGTGACGCAGACATTCACCTCGAGCACCCGCACAGCCGAAGTCAGCTCGGTGTCAGCTGCAGCCCGCATCCAAGCCCTTGTCGCCGGCCACACCCCACCACCAGCACATACAGCCACCAGGACCCTCCCCATCCACAACCAAAGCAGAGCAGCCCCTGTAACCAAGCCAAATCTGAGCTCCACAAGAACCAACATCGCCGACCACCAGCCAAATCTCCTCCACGAGCCACACAACCACCGCCTCCAACACGCCCCCATCCACCCAGCCATGGCTAATGTCCAGAGCCGGCCGAGTCGAGCTGCTGCCTTTGAAGGATGCCAGATCCGAGTGGGCTCGACCTCGTGAACCAGGTCGAGGTCGCCAGAGAATGGGCCAGCAAGCACAGACGCCGACCGCCACCGCCGTCGTAGCCCAGACACTGACCGCCGAGCCACCGCAGTGGAAACCGCCGCCATCCGTGCGCTGGAGAGACAGCTCGCCCTGCCTCCACGCGCCAGCCGAAGAAGTGCCCCCCACCCCCCGCCGCCGTCCTCGGATCCAGCTGAGCTTCGCTGGCCAGAGCCTCTGGCGGCGGCGAAACGAGAGAGGGATGGGGTGGGTGAGTGGCGGCGCTAGGGTTCG